AAGACGCGAAGACCAGTAGTGGCCCCGAATGCCAGGCTGCACTGATATTTATTGGATACAAGACAAAGGGGCAGGGTAAGGAGTGAGAGCCATCTCCAATGATAGGTAAGATCACGTGGGTCACGTGTCCACTGGACAGGGGACCCTTCCCTGCCTGGCAGCCAAGGCAGAGACTTATGCCATTATTTCTGCATATCAGAGGCTTTTAGTACTTTCACTAATTTGCTACTGTTATCTAAAAGGCAGAGCCAGGTGTACAGGATGGAACATGAAGGCGGACCAGGAGCGTGACCACTGAAGCACAGCATCACAGGGAGATGGTTAGGCCTCCGGATAACTGCGGGTGGCCCTGACTGATGTCAGGCCTTCTATGAGAGGTGGAGGAGTAGAGTCTTCTCTGAACTTCTCCGAGGAAAGGGAGATTCCCTTTCCCAGTCTGCTAAGGAGCGAATGTTTTTCCTCGACACTGACACTACCGCTAGACCAAGGAGCCCTCTGGTGGCCCTGCCCGGGCATTACAGAAGGCTTGCACTCCTGTCTTCTGGTCACTTCTCACTACGTCCCCTCAGCTCCTATCTCTGGTTTTTCCTACGTTATGATTGTAGAGCGAGGATTATTATAATATTGGAATAAAGAGTAATTGCTACAAACTAATGATTAATGATATTCATATATAATCATATCTATTATCTATATCTAGTATAACTATTCTTATTTTATATATTTTATTATACTGGAACAGCTCGTGCCCTCGATCTCTCGCCTCGGCACCTGGGTGGCTTGCTGCCCACAGAAGGGGAAGCAAGCACGTCTCACAGGGCTGGAGCAGGAGGAAGAGAGAGAGGGGGGAGGTACTACACACTTTTAAACAACTAGATCTCGTGAGCACTCGCTGACTATTGCCACACCAACACCAAGGTGGATGGTGTTAAACTATGAGAAACCAACCCCATGATCCAATCACCTCCCACCAGGCCCCACCTCCAACGCTGGGGATTACAATTCAACGTGAGATTTGGGTAGGGACACAGTTCCAAACCATATCACATAGTGTCTGTTTGATATCTTAAAACTAGTATATTTTGTCATTTTGAAATACATTAGATTAAGCAGGTGTGAGCTACACTAGGTGCTCTGGGGTCTCAATGTCCTGCCTGTGCATGGCTCCAAGTGTTCATATTGTTCCATGACCACAAACTAACTTGCTTTTGATACATAATAGAGATGATAGATGGAGATAGATATAGAGTGTTAACTGAAGAAAGATGGACATAGAGGCCAAAGAAAATAACATTTATTTGGGAAACAAAGAATTGCAATTCAGGTACACTGAATCAGGCCAGCCCTGATAAGGCAAGGGCAGAATGAATTTTATACAGGAGATTTCCACAAAAAGTTATTTTCTGAGGCAGTTCATTGGCTGTGCAGAAATCCCAAATTACAAACTTGTTCAGACTGGTTATTTAATGGGGGTACTCCCAGCTGAGAGACGTTCAAGGCTGGCAGATATTGACCTCAGGTGTGTATCAAAGTCTACTGGAACATTCCGTGGTTTGAACTTTATCAGGTGTGAGTGCAATCTTCTCTCAATCTCCAGACTCCAGTTTACAAAGCCCTACCCTTAATTACTTCATTTTCTTTCATGATAGAGATAGATAGGACAGAGAGATGAAAGAAGGAAGGAAGGAAGGAAGGAAGGAAGGAAGGAGACAGGGATGAAGGCATAGAAGAAAGGAAGGGAAGGAAGGAGGGAGAAAGGAAGGAAAGAGGAAGGAAGGAAAGAGAAAGAAGGAAGGAAGGAAAGAAGGAAAGAGAGAGAAAGGAAAGAAAGAAAGAGGGGAGGGAAGGAGGAAAGAAGGAAGGAAGGAAGGAAGGAAGGGAGGAAGGAAGGAAGGAAGGGACTTTTTTTCATGAATGTATCATCTGGATGACTGTGTACGCTGTCCGTTCAGCAGTTCTTGAGGTTTTTTTTAAATTGTGGTAAAAACAAAACAAAACACATAACCTAAAAGGTGTCATGTTGACCATTTTTATGTGTACAGTTTAGTAGTGTTAAGTATATTCTATCGGGCACACTTGCAGTCAGTGGACAGAACGTGCGAGGCTTTGCTGCTCTCATGGAATTGAGAACTTTTGTGCTTTGTCCTCTGACACACAGATAAAGCACTTCATAGTCCTGCTGCAGAGTCCACTGTATCTGTGACACCTGAGAGAAAACATCTGGCCATAAGTTTATTGAGTCTGCTATTTGCATCTCTATTAGCTAAGGTAGGGTTTCTCAAACTGTTGATGGAGACACCTGGGAGGGGAAAGGGAATGAAATCCATGTAGTGGGTTGCAGTATGAGTATGTGTGTGTGTCTTGACAGAGGGACAGATGGGAACTACAGGGAATTGTTTCACCTGTTTGTTTATAAAGGCAATTACATCGGAGCTGAGGAGGGCATCTTCACTTTCACAGTCATTCTCTTAATATCCTGGTCTAATCCCATGGATAAATTGTGTGTGTGTGTGTGTGTGTGTGCGCGCGTGCGTGCGTATTGACTCATGTTGAGACATAAATTATACACAGGCTCTGACCCACTAAATATTACCACTTGTTATTTATAATGAAAGTTAGATATTATGTTAAATGTGCACATGGGCATGTGTGTGTGTATAAATTATGTCCCTAGACTCCAAGACACACTCCACACTCATAGATCCAACTGCCTATCCTGACATCTGCAATTGCTTGAGAGATAAAATTAACACTCCGAAACTGAACCTCTAATCTTTCCCCACTTCCAACTCTTCTACACAGTGATTAATGACAGCTGTTCAGATCAAAAATAATATGCTGAATTCTTAGACTTCTCTCTTGGCCACACATCCCTTATACCATCTATTAGCAGATCCTTAAATTCACCTGTCAATAAAGCTGGCCTTGATAAAATCTGCCACATAGTGAGGATTTCATCAGCTATAACATGCAAATCATTTAAAATAATATCTAACTTCCATTAAAAATAACAAGTGGTAATATTTTGTGGGTCAGATCCTGTTGTAGATGTATTACCTCTTTTATGTCATCTAACAACAACCATGACTCAATAATCTCTAGGTATATTAGGGGTTGTTACAACTCTCATTTTGCAGTTGGAAAACCTCAAGGGGCACATGCATGTGAATGGGCATGCTCTCTCTCACACACATGCACTCAAACTGAGGCATAGGAAGGTTGCACAGTGTCATGAGTCCCTAGGAAATGAACCCAGCTATAGGACTCTGCAGCTTTTGCATATACTAAAAATAATGATCTGCTTGGAAATCCAAGAGAATACTCCCATCCAGTTGCTTAGGTGAAAAACCCTGGAGTCATTCTTGACTCCTTTCTTATTCTCATCACCCACATGCAATCCCTTTGCAAATTCTGTCATTCTGTCTAAGCTATCCAAGATCCAACCACATCGCACCACTTCCACTGCTGCCACTCTGGTCTGAGCTACAACCACCTCTTGCCTATCTGAGTGCAATAACCTCCTACCTGGTCTCCCTATTCTAATCTTAATCTTCTTATAATATATTCTCTACAGTGATCCTTTCAAGTCATTAAGTCCAATCACATATCTCCCCTACTCAATTCCCTTCACTGGTTTCCTTCTCACTCAGAAGATAAGATAAAATCCTTATAAGGGCCAATAAGGCCTTACATTGTAATCTGTGAATCCTCCATTACCTCTCCACCTTCTCTGCTATACTCTCTTACAAACTCCATACCAGCCACCCTGGTGTTGCAGCTGTACCTTCAATATTCCAGGGTTTCTGCTGAATGAGGGCTTTTGCGCACTCTGCTCTCTCTGCCTTTGGTGCTCTCTCAAATATAGCTCATGGCTGGCTCCTTTATCTCCTTTAAATCTTCTCGATTTTCATCTCCTCACCCTACTTCATCATGTAACTGCACCCCTCACAGACCAATTCACTGCCCTTTTCTTTTTGCCCATACTGCTTGCCACCTTCTAAAATACAGTATAATGTACAAATTTGTTTTGTATTTCCTGTCTCACCTCTGTCTTCGGTTGGTGGTCTAGTAAGTGTTGCGACATAACAAACCACCCCTAAACTTAGCGACTCAAAACAATGATGATCATTTGCATCTCCAGTTTGGGCACACTGGGAGTAAGGCTCATGTCTGCTCCATGTGGCAGCAGCTAGGGTGGCTAAACCGAAGGCTGAAGGAATCTGCTTCCAAGATGTCTTACACAGGAAGGGGACAATTTTGTGCTGGCTGCCAGCTGGTAACACTCAGAATAGTCTGAGGGCCAAGCGACTTGGTTCCTTTCCATGTGGCCTGTGCTTCCTCACAGCATAATGGCTGGATTCCAAGGAGATACATATATATATATCAGGTGGAAGATGTATCATCGTGTATGACCTGGCCCCAGAAGTCAGAATCCCCTCTGCTATACACTATTGGCCACAGCATCACTACCCAAGTTCTACTGGATGGGACATAGACTCCATCTCTTAATGGGGAGTGGCTAGATGCTGAAAGAGCAAGCAAGACAGAAAATATTGTTGCGACCATTTTTCAAGAAGGCAATGTATGAAAATTGGACACCCCAAAGGCTGAGAACCCCTAGTGGGGAAAGCAGAGCAAAGAAGAAGAATCCAAGCAAGGAAAGATTCAGCCAGGTTCCACAGCGTAGGGAGAGTGAATTCCGAGCCATTTCCAGCTCTCTGCTCTTGCAGGTAAAGCAGCTCCAGGAGCTGAGGGGCTATCCTCTGAGAAGGAGCTCCAGGGGTGTAGGCTTCAGAAGGAAGAGCACATGGAATCAGAGAAAGGGGTGCCAGAGGACTTGGGCAGGGCACCAACACTGCCCACCACATCCTGCCAGAATAGAAGCTTAAGGAAAGACATATTTGTTTCACTCATTCTTATATTCCCAGCACCAATAAGAATACCTCTTATGTAGCAGGTGATCATTAAATATTTATTGAACTGAATGGAATTGTCAATGGAGATGAGGGCCTTGTGGATCTTACATGGACTAGGTTTCACACCTGCCACGCAGCGCAAGAAGCTAAAAGACTTCAGTGGCAGCTGGAGGATGAGGCTTGCCCTTGCCAGAGCCCTCTTTATTTGGCCCTTCATGCTGCTCCTGGATGAGCCCACCAACCACCTGGACCTAGATGCTTGCATGTGGTTGGAGGAAGAACTAAAAACTTTTAAGCGCATCTTGGTCCTCGTCTCCCATTCCCAGGATTTCTGAGTGGTGTCTGTACCAACATCATTCATATGCACAACAAGAAACTGAAGTATTATACGGGTAATTATGATCAGTATGTGAAGACGCGGCTAGAGCTGGAGGAGAACCAGATGAAGAGGTTTTCACTGGGAGCAAGATCAGATTGCACACATGAAGAACTACATTGTGAGGTTTGTCACGGCAGTGCCAAGCTGGCCCAGCAGGCCCAGAACAAGGAGAAGACGCTACAGAAAATGATGGCATCAGCACTGACAGAGAGGGTCATGAGCAATAAGACACTGTCATTTTATTTCCCACCATGTGGCAAGATCCCTCCACCTGTCATTATGGTGCAAAATGTGAGCTTCAAGTATACAAAAGTAGGCCTTGCATCTACAATAATCTAGAATTCGGAATTGACCGTGACACACGAGTGGCTCTGGTAGGGCCCAATGGAGAAGGGAAGTCAACTCTTCTGAAGCTGCTAACTGGAGAGTTACTACCCACAGATGGCATGATCCGAAAACACTGTCATGTCAAGATAGGGCATTACCATCAGCATTTAAAAGAACAGCTGGACTTGGATCTCTTGCCTCTCGGGTCAGGAGCTCCATCTGGGAACTAACAGCTGCTACCCTGACCAGCTGCTCAGGACAGGACCCTGGGGCTACACTCCTGCATTGCTGCAATACTGCTCCCCCAGCCTCTCCCCTGCCCCTCAACCTGCCTTAGCTGCACTCTCTTATCTACAGCTGGACAGTACCTGTCTGTTTCCTGTCCTCCTTCCAGTTACATCTGTCCATGTCTGGACTCGGCTGGCCATTCCCTCCAGCCCCTTGCTGGTTACCTTACTCTGAGTGTGATGCAGTCAGAGGCACCTGCAGGTTAGCCCAAGGGCCCAAGCCCTGGATTTGGCCCGCGGAGGAGGTTAGGATCCTCGTTTTCTGGGTTTTGGTGATGTTGGAGGAGTACCCCCAGCCCACCGCCCCGATTCCTTTTTGCTTCTGGTTTGGAGCTCTGGACCAGGACCTTCGTCCTGGTCAGTTTTTAAATAATTATTTAACAGTGTGACTTTTAGACCTGCGTGACATCTACAAAGTGCCCAATAAAGAAAGAGGAAGCCAAAACAAAACAAAACAAAACAAAACAAAACTAAGTAAAATAGAAGTTTTTGACCATCAAACAAAGACAGTGCTTTACAAGCAAACAGTGCTTACAAGCAAAACGGCTCCCCTAAAGCAGAGGGAACACGTAGAGTTTATTGTTCCACCTTTCCCACTGAGGTCTGCTTGGAATCTGTGTTTATGTGTGGCGGCAGAGTGGGGTCAAGATTCATTTTATCCATCTGGATCATTTTGTCCACCTGATCACCCTGCACAGCCATCCAGTCCCTGCGGCTCTCCAGCGTCCATGTATGTGAGGGTCTGAGTCTCTCAGTTGGCCTTATGGGCCAACCTGCTGTTTTTGTGGGTCGGAGACTTGGTCTAGAGTGTGTGTGTAGGAAAAAAGTGTTCATGATTGGCCTCGTACTTCACCAGGGGTGAGGCATTTAATGTGGCTTTTTGTCCTTTCTCTCTGCCCCAGGATCCCGCAGGCCTGTTCTCTCTATGCCTTTGGTGTGTTTCCCCCAAATCTGAGCCCGTCCCCTCCCTACTTTGTTTGTCCCTTCCTTGCTTCATGGCCTCGAGATGCCACCGACCTAGCACCCAGGGCATCTGGGAGACTCGGCTATGGAGAAAAGGGAGGTGGTGGCAAAAGAGACGCCTGCTGAGGACAGGCAGGCCTACGGCAGTTGCCTTCTCATGCAAGTAATCATGAAGGTCATGTTATACATGGTGTCAGGGAGAGCAGCTGATTTTAGTATCAATTATAAAAGCTAGTTTCCAACGAAGAAATAAAGAAAATGACAAGATATGGTTTGGCTGAGCCGAAGCAGTACTGATTACAGACACCTGCTCAACTGTTTGCAGTGAAATAACACGCACGTGAGTCAGGTTAAGTTTGTTGTACTTCAATGTAAAAGTGGTTATGAAGTCCATTTTCAAATATTCAACTTTTAAAACATGATCCTTATTTATATTGAATGTCATCACTTAAATAAAAAAGAACTTAAGTCACGATTCCTCCTTATAAGACTTTTATTAACACCAGAAATGAAACAGTAAAAACAAAATGAATTTGAAAAATCAGTATGATTGGGGGTGCAGAGATGGTATGAACAGGGACTGAGGAAAAAGCCAGGTCTGAGGACAGCCTTCAGTGTCAACTTGGAACTTTTAAAGGTCATGATTCAGCTGATCCTGTGAAGTGGACTGTGCGGTGGGCAGGTCGCTTCGTGCCTTTAGAGCCAGGCTGTGTGCTGGACCTCGAGGCTCTTCCTTCCCCAAGGAAAGCTTAACTCCCAGTGCTCCTGGGTTTGTCACCTTCTGGACTTGCAAGCTTGAGACTCTTGGGTCCCCTGTCCTGCACTGGACAACTCCTGACTGGGAGGAATTTTCTAACGCGATGAGACAGAAGAAAATGAAACAAAAAGGAACTACAGAAAACAAAGTGGGGTTAATTGCTGCATTGCCCTGTTATGCTGATTCCCACATCTTGTAGGTCTCTGGGATCATTTCTGTAACAAACATCAGGCCCTTGGTCAGAAACATAGCTCTCTCTCACACACACATCGATCATCTCCACCAAAACCAATATTTTGACTTATGGTACCTTTGCTGGTGTCAGCTCAAAAACTACCTGTACTTTGTTTCCTTGAATCATTATGCTTTTGCATAGCCATCCTCTAACAGTTATCAAAGCAGGACACAATTGCATACACTCTGGAAATGAGGGGTGAGTCACCATTTTCAAAATTAAAATTTTAAAATTCTGACCCCTATCACCTTCCATACCTTTAATGCAGAGAGTGCCTATTCAGAGCATTCCATTTTTCAGTAATCACATCCAAACAGGTCACACTACCCATGTGTGTATTTCTTCATGCTATAAATACGTTTCTGGAAATGTTTTGTAGAAACAGATTTCTTTTCTTTTTGGGGGGGTCAATTGAGTGACATTTCACTGCTGACATAATTTCAGCTATTCTTTTCTATCTCCAATCTGGTGTGGTTCTTGACACTTGGGCCTACAATTTTTTTCTGCATCAGCCTTTGTCAGATAATCAGTGATCCTAACACAAGTGCTCCACACATGGGAATTGGCAGTTTGAAGCCCTGGTTTCTTGCCTGAGTCTCTTTGCAAGTCACATGGGGAGGAAGGCAGCTCCTCACCGGCTTTGGCTGTGTGTGGTGATGCAGAGCTGGCTGTGGGGCTTAGGGAGTGGGGAGACCTCTCCTTGCTCTGTCCAGGCTCACTAAGGACTCTGAACTCAGTTAAAATACTTAGAAATTTTCCCCCACTTTGTCCAAGGAAGAAAATAATGTCACCAGAACCTGCTTCTTTGAAAATCAATATGGCTTCTTTGAAAATCAAAATGACTTCTTGTATGGTCTGAAAAAAGAAGACTTTGGCATTTACTTACCTGTGGGGTGATTGGAAACCCTGAAATCCTGTAGCAAAGTCTACAACTGCCCCAACTGCACTGACTATCATGGGCCTGACTGCCAATTTGATCTATCCTCATAAAGAAGACAAAATCTCAGTCAGAATGCAGGACCAGTATCTGCTTAGTTTCCAGCTGTAGGTGCTCAGAAGGATCAAGAACAGACATTAAATAACACTTCATGCCCAACTAACACCTTCATTCTGGGTGTCCTGGACCCCAGGACCTGTAAAGGAAGGGGTGACATGACACCCTCATTATAAAGTGGGAGTGTTTGTACTCTCAGTACCTAGTTACTTCTCAGGCAGAGGGGAGCAATTGGCTGGGAAACCTAAGAATGGAATTCATAGGTTTCTCCTGGTCATTTTTCTCTATCACTCAAAAGCTTGGGCCCATCATAGGATAGCCAGGGACAACCTACGCCTTCCCCAAGGTGGTAAAAATTCCTCTGCTAGCATTAGCCAGCTCACAGGGAAACACACTGCATAGGGGACCATGAGAATGGCCTTCAGACTGACCATCAGTAGGTATTTCTAATTGTAACTACTGATGATAGAGTTCCAGTTGAACATCGCACAAAGAAACCCTCACTTGACACGCACACCTTTCAAGTATCAAAACTGTTCAGATCCCTACTCATTTTGTGTCTGCAGGTGTTTCCCACATGTCTCCAAGGCTCACCCAATTAATCCATTTTGTCAAAATCCTCAGAGGAAGTATGAGGTAGAGGAATGAGTTTGCAATTGGCAGCCTGGACAACTGTATTCTAAGCCGGACTCTGGGTCTTGGCTTTGTGATAATCTTGGGCAACACTCACTCCAATCTTTGCTCCGATAAGACAGGGGGGAGGCTAGATTCTCTCACAGCCCCCTCAGGAAGGCAACTGCTTCCTTCTTTTGTTCCTTCAATGTATAAAGAGGTCTTCTTTCCTAAAGGTTCTGGCCAAGACCTTGAAAACTACACAGTCTCTCTTGGTTTTGACCTGTGTTGACCATCAGTGTGTTTTTAGTTGAAAAGAAAAAAATAGAAAAAACTCAAACTGAGCCCCAAGTTTCCCTGTTTCTCATACTTTGGATTGCCTCTCATCCGTCCACTCCTGTTTTGTGCTCTGGAGAGCCTGTGTCTTCTGCTCATCCACTTGGACATAGTCTACTCTTTGTTCTTCTGAAAGGAGAAGTTTCTGAAGAAGGAGAACAAAATGGTTTTCATTACATCTAACTTAAAATGTCAGGAAAATGTTTACCCTTTTGTATTAAATTACATTGTTAAATATTTGTTGCCCTTTTCTTTGTGTGGAAGCTTTATACTTTGTATATGCGCGTGCGTGTGCACAAAAACACGTTGCTTCCCTCAACTTTGCTCTAGCCACTTGACTTGCTTTGACCAATATAATGTAAGTGGAAGTGACATGGCCTGGCATGGTGGCATGTGCCTGTAATCCCAGCACTTTGGGTAAGAAATACCTGAGACTGGGTAATTTATAAAGCAATCTTTATAATTGGGTATTTCTTCATAGCAGCATGAGAATGGACTAATACACAGGCCAAGGCAGGAGGATCACTTGAGCCCAGGAGATCAAGATCACTTTTTATTAAAAAGATAAAAAACAGCTGTGGGTGATGGTGTGCAACTGTAGTCCCAGCTACTTGGGAGGCTGAGATGGGAGGATACCTTGAGCCCAGGAGATCGAGGCTGCAGTGAGCTATGACCATGCCACTGCACTCCAGCCTGAGTGACAGAGTGAGATCTTGTCTCATGAAAATAAAACAACAATAACAAAAAGGAAGTGACATGTTCCAATCCTAAGGAGAAAAGAGGTATTCTGTGATTCTGCAATCTCTCTTTTTCCTCTGCCAGGAGGCCAGCACACTTCAGATGGGGGCTGCTTCTCTTGCCTGGGCCCTGGACTGGAACACAAAGGCTCTGGCCTGCAATAAAAGAGCCTTTGTGTTGAAAGTAGATGAGATTTGGGGGTTGTTTGCTTTGAGTGCATAGTCTACCAAAACTGAGTAATGCTCCTTTTATACTTATTGCTCCCACCCTTCTTAACAGCTTTTCTCCAGTCTCATATCAGGTTTTTGGAATGATATTAAAAGTAGAAAAGAAGTAGGAGTTACCTCAGCAAAAGAGTAGGAAAGTCCTCCATTGTTTCCCATGCACTCATTCCTTACGCTGTACAGTGGGTGATACTAGTTCACAGCTATGATGACTTACATGTATTAACTCAATTAATCCTCGCAACAGTCCTTGACATAAGTGTTGTCATTTCTGATTTCCATTTTTCAGATGAGAATTCTACCCAAAGGGGTAGCTGCCCAACTTGGCATTCAAGGCCCCTTACTAAGGGGTTCCACTTCCAACTTACAGTTCTTTCCACTGCTCACTCAAGTCTAACCAAACTAGGCTGTTACTTGTTCCCTAAACAGGATGTTCCTACACCTGGAGGGTCCTCTACCTCACCCTCATTTCTGCCTGAGACATTTTTCTATAAACTTTATGGTCCAAATTTTGAAGTGTGAATATCACATCTATTTATACATATACACACAAAGAACACACCCTAGAAGGAAATACACCAAGATTTCATTCTGTCTGGGAGATGGGATTAGGGCTGATTTTAATATTCCTCCTTATACTTGTCTGCATTTTTCACACTTTCTAAGGAGAATATGCATGATTTGATCATCAGAAAAGTCTAAGCAGAAATGGAATCACCTGGGGATTCTCAGACGCAAAGCCCTTCCTACCTGCTGCATGGGGGCTGGTGATGCTGAATTGAAGTCCAGGGCCAAATAATCTAGGCTGAATTTCTTTGTCCACGTAAGAGCACCACTGCTCAGGGAACTGGTTGTTCGGTGCTCCTCCTAGGAACCAACATCGCAGGAGTCAGGTTAATGATGTCTATCTGGGTTGCTCAAGGGAAGGAGGGCAAGTTGTGGTTTCACCCAAGCAGATACCGTCATATCATAACAGAATAGTCTGATGAGACCTGAGTCAATCAGCCTGCATATCTGAGTGAGAACTGTAATTTCAAACAGAATATAGCCAGTCTGGCCTTCACAGTGAAACTATACCATTATTCACTATGGGAACAGTATGCCAAAATTCACTCAAAAAGGAATTTGCTTCACGAATCTGACAGGCCTGTGATACTTTAGAGATTAAACCCTGACGAGATCAACTATACATATTAAGTTCTCGTGAAGGCATCCCAAATGCATTTAAATATAATTTGCACAATACAGTTATAACACAGATGAAACTCAGGGCCCAGCTTCAGAAGTGAAATGCTACCGATCTATATCTTTGAAGCTGTTTCCCCTCTACTATCTTTCCTTCTCCTCCCAAGAGGTAAAGCACTACTATCTTGAATTTTGTGCTTACCACTCCTTTTACTTTTAAATATAGTTTTATGAGTATACAAGTATCCTTAAATAACAGACTATTTCCTTTCACCTGTTTTTGAATGTCATATCAACAGAATCATATTGTATACATTTTGGGTGGCTTCAGTTTTGTGTTCAATATTAGGTACTCCACACTCACTTGTGTCGATGCATTAGCCCTATTTCACTCATTTGCACTGGGTCAGATATTCCATTGTATGACTTATTTAACCATTCTGCCATCAAAGGATATTTGAGTTGCTCCCAGTTTGGGGGCTATTACAAGCAATGCTGCCATGGACATTCATGCACCTGTGGGAGAAATTCCAGGGCATTTACTTGGGAATAGAATCACTGGGTTATAGAATATGAGCATCTTCAACTTTACTAAACATCACCAAACTATTTTCCAGAGTGAACCAATCTACACGTGTACCATCCTGGTCAACATTTGGTATTGTCAGACGTTTTAACATTTTTCCTACCTAAGACAGGTAAAATGGTATCCTACTGTGGTTTGATTTTCCATTCCCCTGATTATTAATTAGTATGAGTACCTGTTCAGATGTTGAAAGGTCATTTATTTCTCCTCTGTGAATTGCCTGTTTGGGTTTGTTTTGTTTTTTGGGTTTTTTTTTTTTTTTTTTGCCTTGTTTCTGGTTAATTTTTGTATTGAATTATTTGTCTATTTTTCTTACTTACCCTGAGTACTTTTTCCTATGCCCTGGAGAGTAATCATTTGCTATCATGTATGTTACAGATAGCTCATCACAGTCTAGCTTCTTGTCTTTTCATTTCTTTTTATGGGATTTATTTTAACTAAGAAATACTTTTAATGTAATATGTCAATCTTTTCCTGCATGGCTTGCACTTGCATTATGTTTAAGGAATCCTGCCCTATGCTGAGGTCATAATTTATTTATCTATATTTTTTCCTGAAATTATAAAGTTTTGTAATAATTTGCTCCATGTTTAAGCAATAATCTCACTTGAACTGATTTTAATATTGTATATGGTGGTGCAATAGAAATAAAATTCATTCCATTTTTTTTGTTGTTTTTACTCAACATGGATAACCTAGCTTCCCCCAGAATCAGCTTCAAAGTTCCTCAAAAATCTCTGTTAGGGAGTTGGTAAGGTAATGTCTTTAATATTTGAGTCTTCCTATTCAGGAACATGGTCTACTTTTCCACTTATTTCATTCTCCTTAATGTCTTTTGATAAATTTTAATAATTTTCTCCACAATATTTTTTTGTTAGATTTATCCCTAAATACCTACAGTTTGTTGTTACTATAAATGGTAAGTTTTGTTTAAATTCTTTCTTCTGTTTGTTACCATTATATAGACATCCAACTGGATTGTGTATATTGACTTTATATCCATCAATCTTGATATCTTTTATTAATTGTAATTATTTATTTTACTAACTTAGTAATTCTAATTATTTCTAAGTAGATTATTTCGAGTTATCACTCATATAAGCAGATTATTTTGAGTTATCACTTCATCTATGAATAATCACTGTTTGTCTTCTTCCTTCCTTTCTCATTCTTACTCATTTTGTTTCTTTAGGAGATATTTTTAGTGTTTAACCACTGAGTATGATATCTACTATAGGTTCTATAAGATTCATTTTTCATTTATTATGACGTTAAAGAAAATTCCTCTATTCCTTGTTTACTAATAGATTTTTTCATGAATAGATGAGTTCTATCAAATGCTTTTTCTGTATCTAGTAAGATAATATATCATTTTTCTCCTTTAATCTGTTAATGTGCTTGGTTGACTTAATAGATATTCCTGGTTTATGGCTGTAATAGCTCATCTCCCTGAGAATATTGGTAATAATAGAGTTTTAAAAAGGCTTTTCCTAGCCGGGCACAGTGGCTCATGCCTTTAATCCCAGCACTTTGGGAGGCCAAGGTGAGCGGATCACTTGAGGTCAGAAGTTCAAGACCAGCCTGGCCAACATGGTGAAACCCTGTCTCTACTAAAAATACAAAATCAGCCAGGCATGGTGGTGTGCACATGGAATCCCAGCTATTCGGGAGGCTGAGGCAGGAGAATCACTTGAACTTGGGAGGCAGAGGTTGCAGTGAGCCGAGATCACCCCACTGCACTCCAGCCTGGGCGACAGAACAAGACTCCGCCTCACAAAAAAATAAAATAAAAAATAAATAAAAAGGTCTTTCCTTCTGGCATAGTTCTTATTTCATCTAACCTGTTTTGGTCTCAATCTTTCATGCTAGAGTTCTCCTGAAATGTCACATGAAATCACTAACTGTTGCTTATACTTATGAGCGAAAGACCAAAAAGCTAACATGAAGCTTTGTGTACATGGATGGTGTTTGTCAACTCTGGAGTTTTCTGCAGGGTGATCCCATTGGGTGGTTATCTTAAGTAACCCTCAGTATTAGGAACTACATTTTGCCACTTGGGCTGCTCAAATAGCCCAGAGAAATATTTTCTAATATCTAAACTCAATTGTAAAGGTCTGGTTGTCAACATTCTGGAAAAGGGCTTAAGAATGGTTCTCATATCCATTATGCCTATTTACTTAATCACCTTGTTGTTAGTATAGTATTCATGCTCAAATATGTCTAGTATCCCCCAGTGCAGAGATCTTTTGTTTTACTCTCTCCAGAGAGACTGCACTTCAACTTTTCTATGAGATGGGGGATGGAAAGTCACAGTGTTTCACCTCCATGGAGTGAGGGAAGGGATCTTGGAATTTACCTGATGCCTTTGACCACTACTACTTCTTTTACTTTCCCTTCAACTCTACTTCAGAACTACCTACTGCGGACAATTCCTGAATTCTTTGGGTAGTCTAAGTCAAGTTGCTTCTTGCCTGCCTTCCACCACATTTAAGATTTATTTTTTTTTTTTGCGGCGGGGAGGGGTCTTGTAAGTCATTTACTACATATCTACCTGCATTCCAGTTTCCAATATGCTACTGCTATTTTCTTCTCCAATTCTTCATATCTTTGTGGATTTATGCCTTTAACAGATTTCTTTACTGTTATTTTAGAGGGTGTTTGGGGATGGCGAGAAACTGGAGGCTTGTGGTCAATCTTCCATCTGAGGTTCATGTGTCAGTACTTTATTTCTTTTTATGGCTGCATAATACAATGGAATATTATTCATTATATATTATACTACATTTTATTCACACATTCATCAGTTGATGATCATTTCAGTTGTTTTCCCTTTCTGGCTACTATGAAAAAATGCTTCTACGAACATTTGTGTATGAGTATTTGGTTAGATATACTCTTCTGTGGGATTTTAAAATCTGCATCCATGAGTAACATTGGCCTACAACTTTCTACTTATGTAATTGCTATTTGTTTTATCAAATTAATTTAGCCTCATAAAGTAAGGTGAGCAATATTCTCTTCTCCCATACCTGGTAGGTGTTTATATAAGATTGCACTTATCTCTTCTTTTTGGTAGAAACTATCTGCAAAGTTTTTTGGGCCTTATGATCCTTTGTAGTACAAATTTTCCTGATTCAGTGACTTTAATAGGTACATAAACATTCAGGTTTTCACTTCTACTTGAGTCAATTTCTGATTTTTTTTTAATCCAGAGAATTTGCCTATAACCAAAGTTTTCAAATTTATTGGTACAGAGTTGTTCACAAAAATCTCTTAGGCAGTTAATCTCTCATGTATTTGCAATTATTATCTGTTTTTCATTCTTAATATTACTTACTTGAATTAATATCTTTTTTATTAGTTTTGTTAAATTGTAGTCTTTTTAAAGAGCCAGTTACAGCTGTATTGATCCTCTCTGATTTTGTTGTTTATTTTGTTAGTTTCTGTTCTTGCCTTTATTCATTTCACTTTTGTAGGGTTTTTCTAAACTTATTATTATAAAATTTTTCCAGCATTCAGCCAAATTAAAGAAAATATACCCACCATGTATACTCCACTAACATTTTATTAGACTAATCTGCTTGTAAGTCTTTGGGCTTGTGGAGGAATGGTACCTTTCATGAATTGTGAGCAACTCTAGCATTATCCCTTGACGTATTGCTTCTCTCCTATTTTTCTATAATCTCCTTCAAAAACTCTGACTATACAAATATTTGACCTTCTTATTCTATCTTCCATGTCCCAAATTTCTTTCATACTCTCCATGTTTTTAACTCCTTGTCTGATTTATTAGTAACTTCTTCATAAATTATCTTCCAGCTCACTAAATCACTCTTTGTGCTTAGTCTGTTTATCTGATCCACTGAGTTTCTAATTTCATTCTTGTTTTTATTTCTACAAGTTGTAAATGGTCTTTTACAATCTACTTGGTCATTTTTAATAGTATCTCATTACTTAATCCAACTTTCAATTTCTCATTTATTTCTTTAAATATAGTAAAACTACTTATTTTATATTCAAAACCCAGTATTTCCAAACACTGCCTACTTCCACATTTGATTCTATTATTTGCAATTCGTATTAATTTGGGGGGTTG